CGAAGTCTGTCGCGACTCCATCAAAGGGTCGAGCGCGTCGCACGCGATCCGCTGGAAGGTCTGCCATACGCGGGGGTTGTTCTGCAGCAGAAAACCTGAAGCATCTCGTACATCGTCGTACAGTTCTGGCTGCCTGTCGTCGGATCGAAGTAATCCAATATTCCCTGCGTAACATAGCAACTAAACCATTAGCTCCAACGTGACAATAGGACTTATGACAATAGTCCATCAACAACTGTACAAATCTCGAATCTTTTGGTAATAATACCGGATGCCTCGCACCGTAATTTAAATTGGAATGCCTTAGTCGACCTCCAACTCTGATGACACCCTCGGCGTCTAAAAAGACACTTAACTTTTGAAGTGACGTCATGACTTTCTTCTGTTGTTTCAACAGGTCAATTTCCTTTGAATATTCCAAACCTTGTATTCTTTTTATCCAATATTTGACTGCGCCTCGCGTCTCATTTAGCGATAACACTTTAGTGTGAGGTCGCTCTGACTTATCTGCCTTCAGATTATGTATGTATCTCAACACATATGCTGTAGTGTTAATGAGTCGAGTAAAGCTGCTAACTCTGTTCAATAATTGTGTGTCCCATGGCTCTTCTCGAATAATGTTTATATTAACCGACTTCTTAAGCCCCGGTAAATTAGAGAGCTCTGCTCGTCTAACAAGCCTTCTAGGCCATTCAGCTTCATCTCGCTCCAGCCACGGAACATTCCACCACAATGAGTGATGAATCAACTCTTGACCGGTCACACCTCGTGACGCACAATCTGCCGGATTTCTTTCCGACGTAACATGTCTCCAGGTGATCTTCCTTGGAGAGTTCTGTATATGCTGTACTCTGTTACATTCGAACGTCTGTAATAAATGTGGCTGCGTCTCCAACCAAGCTAAAACGATTGAGCTATCCGACCATGCATTTAAATTATTGATCTTAATTGATCTTTCATAACACTCCGCTACATGGTTAAGAAGTTGACACACTAAATGTGCTGCATTTAGTTCCAATTTCGGAATTGTCTGTCTCGTTTTCATAGGCGCTACCCTCGATTTCGCTATTACGAGACTAACCTTGACATTTCCCACTTCATCCTCGCTCCGAAGGTAAATAGATGCCGCATATCCTGCTTCAGAAGCATCTCCGAATCCGTGAAGAGTGTATGATACTGCATTTGATATTACGATACACCTCGGTATTTTCAGTGTCTCCAAGTGTAACAGATCCTGAATCATATCCTGGTATTGCTCTACAATTTCATCCGAAACAGCCTCGTCCCAGTGTAACCCATCCAGGAATATTTTCTGTAATAAATTCTTAAACCTTATTATTACTGGTGTGCAATAACCACACGGATCATATAACCTCGCTATAGTACTTAATATTGTACGCTTCGTTACGGCCCTGTTTACAGGTACATTCAGACAGTATGACATCGTGTCTGAAGTCGGTTCCCATTGTATTCCTAACACCTTTATGAAACTTCTTGAATCAGTAGTATTGAATTCCTTTGGTTGTTCACAATGATCCTCCGGGAGGTCTCTCAATAACCGGGAGTCGTTTGTAGACCACTTTCTAAGTTCGTAACCCGCGCTTCGCATTAGATTAATTAACTCTGCCTTCAAAGCTTCCGCTTCACTAATAGAGTCCGATCCAGTAAGAATGTCATCGACAAATACGTCGTGTCTTACGACCTCACTTGCCTTCGAGTTAGGATGCTGCTCCTCCCATTGTGTTGCCAGTTCCAACAATGTTCGTATTGCGATATACGGACTGGACCTTAGTCCATAGGTATTAGTATTTAACTCGTATACCTTAAGTTCCTGTGATGGATCGTTCCTCCATAGTATCAATTGGTACCTCCTGTCCTCTGGGTGGATCCAGGTCATCCGGAACATCTGCTTCACGTCCGTCGTGAATACAACTTGATGTCGTCTGAAATTCATTAGAATTTTGGTAATGTCATTCTGAAGTGCTTCACCTGAATGTAGGCATTGGTTTAATGAAACACCAGTAGTCGTTTTACAACTACCATCAAATACTACTCTGAGCTTATCAGAGTCCCTTTTAAATATACCGTGGTGCGGTATTACGTAATGTTCAGCGTCGAACTGAAATTTCGATATAGACATATGACCGAGTCTTTCATAGTCGTTCATGAATTCCTTGTATTTGGCTGCAAACACTGGATGTCGTTCCATTTTTCGTTCAAGCGCGTAGAATCTACGCGTCGCAGTATCCAATGAATTACCCAGTTCCGGTTTGTCAAATAATAAAGGTAAACGTACCATAAATTTTCCGTCTGGTTGCCTCACCGTAGTAGTTCCATATAACCTCTCACACTCTTTGTGGCGAGGGTCCATTGGTTTTTCGGTCGGTGGCTCCTCCGACGTCCAAAAGCGTTTGACGGCTTCAGTCAGCGTCATAGTGTTGACCGGCCGGTGGTCTGCAACCTCGTAGCCGTCCACTGGTCCCATGATGGCGTGCCCAAAACACGTTCCATAAGCTGCTGCGCCATCTGTTCCGATATTTACTTTAGTGCCATCGAAAATATAATTTACTACATCAGCTCCGAGTATCATATCTACCCCTTTTGGTAGAGAAAAATAGGTATCTCAGTGTGGGCGGTGCCCGCTTCAATATACCTTTTGGTGAAACCCCCTTCACCGGTAATTTTGCAGTGACTTCCTGCATGACTACTGCGACAGTGCTAATTATAGGAACTCGTTTATCTATTGGCCTAATAACTATATTAAACCTTACTGGACGGTGTTTTCACCGTATTATTTCCTATTCCGATTATTTCCATAGAGCTCTTCTGTCGGTGTAAGTGAAGCCGACTCACCAGAGTCTCTCTGATGGCGGAGACACTTGCTCCAGTATCTAAGAGTGCACGGGCCTCCTCGAAGTTGCCGTTTATATTCCTTATACCTAATGTCACGGTGGGGTTGAGACAGTTTCTAAAACCACAACCGACCGTGTATGCGTTCGCACCGACAGGAGCTAAACTTCAATATTTATATTCTTCCAACGGCTCCGGTTTCGGAAGAAAAGTAGGTCGTCCATACCTGAGTTCTTCGAACTGCCGTTGGGCCCGCTGGTACCTGGCGCCAACGGTTCTTGAGCCCGGTTCGAGCCTATAGTGCTGCGGCTCCTGCTCCGAAGTGCGCTGTTGCGTCGCCGACGCCCGGTCGTGCTCCACTGGACTGGTACGCCGTGGGGGTGTCCTCACACGTGGCGGTGTACTCAACCGCGGCGGTGTCCTGACCCGCGGCGGTGCTTGCGGATTCGTTTCCGCGTGATGTACAGGCCTCGCCCGCACGTCTTGTGCGCTCCTTGCTACACTGTCTGCGCACAGGAGAGTATGATGGTGACCGTAGCAGCGTCCACATCTGGCACCCTGGGTGCATTCCCGTGCGAAGTGTTGTCCCAAACAAACAAAGCAGACTCCGTTGTTGCGCACCCACGTTTTCCTCGCAGACACTACGAGTCGCTTAAAGCCGTAGCATCCGGTAATTGCGTGCCCCAAAACAGTACAGTAAATGCACCTTACCTCGCCCGCTGCGACGGTTATGTAGCCGTGAGCTTTGTTCGAGGGTGGTGACCGTCGGCCCCCAAATGGTGTCACCTTGCGCTGCGCAGTTGGCGACCTCCGTTGTCGCGTTGACATGGTCTCATCTTGTTTCGAACCCGGTGATGTGATAAGCTGACGCCGGCAAATCTCGTCGAGCAACTCCATCAGCGACGAGAAGGTTGGTAGCTCCCCGGCGGTTGCCCCGCATCGCTCCTCGAACTGATTCCTGAGTCTCGCAGGCAGCTTCTGCATGACGAGAAACAATTATAAGTATGACCATTCTCCCACAGGGAGTCCCAGTTTCTTCAACGCCTGGGTTGATTCCAGCAACGGATTATAGAAGGTCTGACGTAAACCCTCTAACGATGTCGGCACCGTAGGCAGTGACACTATCTGCTCCAGATAGGTGTCAGCCAGCAACCTTGTATTTTGGTAGCGGTCCCTCAGAAGACCAAGAGCTACCTCGTAGTTAGCCGCGTCTACTGGTAGATGCTTTACCAGGGTTAATGCTTCACCCTTTAGGCAGCTGCGGAGGTAATAATGTTTCTCCGTCTCCGGCAGGTTAGGTCTGTCATGGACCAATGACAAAAACAGGTCATAAAAACTTACCCAATCCCTTGGATTACCACTGAGTTGCCCCAACTCGATGAATGGCAGTTTGGCCGCGACGGTTTCTCGCGAGCTACTCGCTATCGGAAGCGGTGCTGACGGTCCCATTTCGAACTCGTCCACCCTGGTCTCGACAGCAACCAGCAACCCGTTGATGGCGGAGAATTCTGCGTTCAGCGCCTCGATGTCCTCTGCACCACTTGCGATAAGCACTTCATAAGCCTGGAAAAACTCATTATAATATTTGTCAAACTGTCGTTTGACGACCCGGACAGCTATAGCTGACGTAGTGTCATCTATAGATTTCGCGAAATCGCGAAGCATCTTCGCCTTTACTGAAAAGTAGTTTCGCGCCGATCTAGGATCCATTTTCCTTTATGTGAAAGCTAGATAAAAATAATAATGATAACGAATCAAAATACTCCCCCCGAAAAATACAAAAACCAAGGTTAAATTAGTACAAGATTAAATCTAGGACAATAATACGTAACGCGTCGTTGGTATCAGTACTTAAACTAAAACTTATTTTCTAACAAGATGCCTAACCGCTTCGATCGCAACAATGTAATTATTTATATTAGGTACAACTACTAGCAATAATAAAATGCCAAACCGCTCCGATTACAACAATGCAACGTATACTTGTTGCTATAATTCTAACTAACAATATATTTTATAATACGAAATAGACTGTGCCCGGTGTCATCTGGACTGGACTTGTTTATTACGTACGATTTTTGTGATTCTACCACCGCCGCTGAGTGATAAACAGTGTTTACGTATTTTAAAGTGCACTTTTTGGATATAATATGCCACTTCAACGATCTCCATCTTATTCAAGCTCTCCTGCGGGTTCTCGGGTACAGTCAGAGCCCGATATTCCGCTAAAAGTTGGACAAGATATAGATAATTCTTTTGTTTGTGTACGTAACAAGCGGTTGCGTACCGAATCCCCCGAAGACAACGATCGATTCTCAGACTTCAAAAATGAAATTAAATCCTTACTTACATCCTGGAAATCTGAACAAGACTCCATCCTTACATCATGGAAATCTGACCAGGATTCAATGCTAAAAAAACTTACGTCCGATGTGGGAGAAGTAAAGTTAACATGCAGCAACATTCAAAAATGTAATCAGGAACTTGAAAAGTCACTGGAATTCGTTAGCAAACAGTTCGAAGACATGCGTACAAGAACAAAAAAACTAGAAAAAGACAAAAAAGAAAACCAAGCGTGCATATTATCATTAGAAGCAAAAATTCAAGAGCTCCAGCGAATGTCCCGCTCTGCTGCTGTTGAGGTTCGCAATATCCCCCAAAAGGATAGGGAGAGCACTGCTGATCTTACTAGAATTATGAGTGGTATCGGTAAAGCATTAAACCTGAGCCTACAGCCGGGAGACCTGCGAGATATGTACAGGGGACCTGGTAAGCCAGGAACAAATAGAAATATTGTGGTTGAATTCAATGGGGTGCAGATGAAATACGACCTCCTTACCTCAGTGCGTAATTTCAATAGGTCTCGTAAACCAGAAGACAAGCTAAATACCCAACTTATCGGTCTGACATCGGGTAGGACCCCCATTTATATTGATGAACACTTGTCAGCCTATTATTTTTACCTATGCTAAGAAGAATGGATATAATTTCTGTTGGACATCGAACTCCAAAGTGTTCCTCCGGAAGGAACAGGGTACAAACCAGATTCACATCAAAACAGAACAGTGTTTGCGAGACCTCGAGAGTGGACAATGACTATCCCATAACTTGCATGTGCTATTATGTACCGTTTTCGTATCGCTTTCATTTAATAATAGTAAAATACGTTTAATGTTATATTGTATCTACACATACGGCATGCATTTAAAATGACTCTCCAAATTTTTTGTAGGCATTTGGTATCGTTAATAGATCATATATATGAAAAAAAAATGGTATGTAAAATTTTCAAAATGAAATGTAAACTTGTTGCAATTACAAGATAGTTATAACATTCGCATTGTCACATTAGTTATGAATAAAACAAGGCAGCAGGGGAGCAAGGGCGCGGGCGCAGGGGATGTACGCGCATGCGCCAACAACAATGTCTGCTCGGTTTTTTATTTTGTCGGCGCACATCAGTCAGTCGCCCGCGCACAACCCCTTTGAACGCGTGCGCTTCCGCCTTTGCTTCCGTGTTGCGCACCGCCCGTCGCAGGGCCACATTTCGCGCGTCGTAATGTATTCCAATCGCGAATATTATGAAATGGTGCAGTGTTACATACATGGTGATCAACGTGACGCGGAGGCCCCATCGTGGGGCCTGCGCGATCGCCGGACCTACCACAGTGTGACTTTTATTTGTGGGGCGAAATTAAAAGACGTGTGTATGTTGAGGAAGCACAAAGCCTCGAGGACTTAAAAGTGCAAATCAGAGCGGCATTTTACCAAGTGAAAAATGACACGGTAGTGCTCGCAAAATTAAAAGACAATGTGCAGAAAAGGTGCAAGACTCTGTTTGGAGAGGAACGGTATGTACTTTGAACAATTATTAAAGTATACGTAGGTAAATAGTTAAAGTAGGTAGGTAAATTGATTAGTTGATTATGTACATAAAGTTGATGATTTTTTAAATACGCCTGATTGCAAAAGAATAGTGAGTTAAGTACCTACTTTGAATTGGTTTAACTAAACAGAATTTTAGGTAACTCGATATTTACTTACCTACTTACTTTATAAATTTAAAGCAGTATAGCTATTGTAATAGTAGGTATCTAATAGGATTTATGCAATTTGACGGTCCTAAGCCCGTAAAAGTATGAAGAGGTTTCAACTTTATTTATCATTTCCCCAAGCATGACAAAATGAAAACATTTTAGGTAGCTGCTATTATTACTATCAATGAATTGCGGCAAGGGAGGGAGGGGTAAGTGTAACGTAGCGCGTAAAGCGCATGTACTGGGCAGCGAGAGCGTCCACAAATGTAGGTTTTTTGAAAATAACTTGGTGACGATATAACTCAACATTTTTGTTCTGAACGACATAAAAAGAAAAAACACGTATTTCATTATTTGTCGTAAAGATTAACATACTCAAATTTGGAGAGTGGTTTTAATTGCTTGCTGTATAAAAATGTCAACTCACGCAAAATACACAACATACCTACCACACACACAAAAACTTTCACATCACACAAAATATTATCTCGGATGATTACTGCCTGTCGGAATTGCCTTTTAGTTTTTGTATCTCGTTATTGCTGTTGCATATGGATGGAACCAATATTAACTATTTTAGCTGCTAAATTTATTGATAAAAAGAAATTACAATGTTCGATTTGAAAAATGTTACAAATGAAATGGACTCGTTTAAGGTGGCCAATTCTTATAAATGTTCTCCAGATCAATGTCCAATAATATTAGGGGATCCCTCTATGTGTATTAAAATAGTACATGCTAATATTAGGAGTTTAAATAAAAACCTTGATAAATTTACCGCATTTCTCTGTCTTTTAAATTACGATACCGATATCCTCATTCTAAGTGAATGCTGGCTTAAAGATGCTACTAGTATACCACAAATTGATGGTTACAAGTCTTATCATACCTTAAATAACAAAATACAGAATGATGGGGTGGTGTTCTATGTTAAATGTGAACTAGATGTTACAGTTTGGGAACCTAGTCTTACTGATGGAAACTGTTTGGTTTGTACTGTTGGTAACAGGCTGGCACTGGTTGGAATTTACCGTTCTCCATCGTACCACAATATAGACAATTTTATATCTAGCGTTACAAATGTAATAAAAAGTCTGGATCGCTTTCAATCCATTGCTGTATTAGGAGACATCAATATTGACATTAAATACAATAGTAAGGATAGATTATCTGACTATTATCTTACCTCTACAGCGGCTATGGGTCTGTTGCCAGCACACACATATACCACGAGGGGTAATAACTGCCTCGATCACATACTACTTAAGACAAAGTTACAGTCAAGGGTCTTGGTTTTCGAAACCCCTATTACGGACCACCTTCCCATCATGTTGTGTATTGATAACAAAGATTTAATGACAGATACCAAACTATACAGGTATAGGACAAATCATAGAATAGACTATAAAACCATTAAGAAAGAACTCGATGAGACAGATTATTCTTCTGTTATGCGTGAGACGGATGCTAATCAGGCGACAGATCAACTGATTTCTATAATAACAGATACTATAAAGGCTCATACTACAATGACCGCATTCTCGAGAAAAAAGAACATTCTTAAGCCATGGATCACGCCGGGTTTGCTTCGTTGCATGCGTAATAGAGACAAAATGGATAAAAAACTCCGTAAAAATACTACTAATCAAATTTTAAAAATTACTTATGTGCGATACCGAAACTTTTTAAATAACCTTCTCCGTAAACTTAAACGAGAATTTGAAAAGAGTGAGTTTGAAAAAGCCAAAAATAATCCTAAAGCTATGTGGAAAGTGGTAAAAAAAGTAACTAACACTAACAAACAGAGAGAATCTCCTCGTGCTCTTTTGAATATAAATAGTTATCCCATTGATGCCGTAAATTCTATAAATAATTATTTTGCTAATGTGGCTAAGAACCTTGCAGCTAAGATAGTTCCCCCTGAAACAGTCCCCTTGTCGACTAACTGTGCTCCAGCTGACTCCATTGTTCTTCTTGGGACGGATTCGAGTGAAGTAGAAAGCATAATTCGTAGTCTGCGTAGTGATTGTGCAGCAGGATGGGACGGAATCACCCCTGCTGTAATTAAATCATCCATTGGCACTCTCATCCCTCCCATTACACACATATGCAATCTTTCTATTGCTACTGGAGTCTTTCCTGAAGCGCTGAAAAGGGGTCTGATCAGTCCTATCTACAAACAAGGGGATAAGAATGATATCGCAAATTATAGGCCAATATCAGTCCTTCCGATTCTGTCTAAGATCTTGGAGAGAATTCTTAGCAGAGCCTTGGTAAGCTTTTTAGGAAAACATAAACTAATAGCGCAAAACCAGTTTGGCTTTAGATCGGGTGTTTCCACCGAAGATGCAATTTCTAGCCTAACCAGTGCGGTTGTCCACAAACTGGACAGTAAGAAAAAGTGCTTCGGGATCTTCCTGGACCTCTCCAGAGCTTTTGATACGGTATCAATCCCCACTCTTATCAACAAGCTGGAGCGCAACGGCATTCGAGGTCGAGAACTGGATATGTTTCGAAGTTACCTTACTAATCGCACACAGTCCGTTAAAATAGACGAACACATCAGTCATTCAGAAGTAATTGACTTTGGCGTGCCACAGGGCAGCATACTGGGTCCGATTTTGTTTCAAATAAACATAAATGACTTGTGTAAACTCCAGTTACAAAACTGCAATATATATGTATATGCCGATGACACCGCACTTTTGGTGCACGGTAATGACTGGAAAGAAGCCAAACTATACGCAGAGACTTCATTAAAACAAGTCGCTAATTGGCTTTCCGATAACCAACTTACACTAAATTCAGAAAAAACACAGGTACTTTCCTTCTCTATAACATTGGCTGGCGCCGCCCCACCTGAAGATTCTAAGACAGCAATTCACACCTGCAACTTCTCGACACCTAACTGCGGATGCCCTTCACTTCGCACTGTACACAGTGTAAAATATCTCGGTATTCATATTGATAGCAATTTAAAATGGCACCCCCAAATAGAAGCCTTGAAAACAAGAGTGCGAAAATTAATATATATATTTAAAACATTAAGACAATTAGCTGAACCCGAAGTAGTAAAAACTGTGTACTTGTCACTATGTCAATCGATTCTTACACACTGCATCCCAGTATGGGGTGGGGCAGGTGTTACCGCTATGCTGAAGTTGGAGAGAGCTCAAAGAGCTATCCTAAAAGTAATGACTCATAAACATATCCGACATCCTACTAAAATGTTATATTCTGAATGTCAGGTTTTAACCGTCCGGCAACTCTTTATTTTGCGCTGTATTTTGCGGAGACACATTGTTCTTCCCTTAGATTTTAATACCTTTTCGCGTAGACGCGCTTCTGCTCAAGTATACCGTTCAATACCTTGTAAAACTACTTTCGCTAAACGTCAATTTGACGCACTCTCCACGGTATTATATAATAAATTGCACAAGTTCACATCCATTTACTGCCTGAACAGGTATGAAGCGAAAAACAAAATTACCAGCTACCTTCTGAAACTCACCTATACAGAAACAGAAAACCTCTTGAATTGAAAGGTAAAAGTGGTTGAATATTAAATATTTTTTTTTTTTTGCGGGTAGACGTCGCCCAGTAAACATCAACTTTATCCACTGCTCAATTTAATTTGTTTTATATAGTTATTACATAAATTTTCAATAAATGTCAATGTGCATTTAATTAAATAACCCATCACCGCTTACCGCAAACATAAAAATCAACTCTCCTGTGCACCTCTCACTATCGGAAACCACCACACTATGGAACTTCCATCACTTTCATCAAACGAGGGAATCACTGAGTTATTTGCTCGAATGAGCAGTTTTGAAGAGCGTCTTGACAAGGTAACCACTTCACCCAGCAGCCCACTGTTACCACCGGACCTGACTTCACTGGCCCGTGAGTTTGCGGAGTTTAAGGGCTTTGTG